CCCCAAAACCCCAAAACCCCAAAACCCCAAAACCCCAGAAGGGATATTAAGCTTGAATGGGATGAGAGAGGTTAGTTTTAGTCATAACTAGCTTTGGATATTTTGGAACTTGGGGGCTTCATTAAGCTTAGAATAGAGGCTGTAGCTAACTTTTGAGGGTGGAAGGTAGTGGAATCATGGTCTTTTGATTCTCTAAGGGAGTAAGAGGGAATTTTACTCTGTAGTCTTGATATTAGGAGGCTTGGGACTTGATTGCATGCTTGCTACTGTGAGACAAGGTCTTCTAGAATGATTTTGATCCATCATTGTTTCTATTTGATTATCTATTAAGTTGAATTTACAAACATACTTTTGAGCGATTTCTTGCTAAACACTCCTGATACAAGTTTGTAGTCTTGCTCTGTCCATTCTTCATTCATATAATCATTCTATTTTTAGAACAAGAGCTTACTATAAACTTGTTAATTTTGATACGGTAAAGCATTTTATTGACCAAATTGGCAAATAATTTTGGAGTTTTCTTATCATTGTCTTCTTGAATGTCGGTGTCATCTCCACTTTCATCAAAAGTAAGCACGTTGGATCTCTGATGTTTGATAATATACTTCTCGCTATCATCTAGGAGTGATCTGACAAGTGCTTGGAGATTCCTCATGCTCTTTCAGAATCTTACTGCATCAAACTCATGAGCATACTTGTCTTGTCCTTTGCTGTAGTACTCAAGTCTCCTTTTGACATTAATATTGTTCTTTTTGTTAACACAACAATGAAACATAAACTTGAAATATCCACATGCATTGTAAAAGAGGTCAGTAAATCTCCAATCGTAATTAAATCTTCTCTGAATCGACTGCCTTGCTTTTTCACTTAACTCCTCTTTGCAATTTTCATCAAAGCTAACATTTCTCTCACATTGCCTATGAGAATATTCTATATCTTTTAAACTTGCTTCAGAAGAATCTTTGTTTTCTCGAGCATTCATAACTTTGCTTGTTGGAATTCTTCCATCTAAACTGATAAATATCCAATACCTTGAGAAGGTTTCTCTGATTCTTCGAGTAGATACATCTTTGAGAATATTGTGTAAAAGAACAGTCTCTCTGCAAATAAACCAACGATAAGTCCACCAGCAATCGAGAATATCTCAAGAAGGCCTCCAATATTTCCAAAGGCTTCTAGGACAGTGAAGACTGAACGATCGTAAGATTTTGAAGATGGATCTTTAGTGAATATGATAGCTATGAAGTATAAGCATTGCCTTACCAAGAAGACTTTCATCGGGGTTCCCTTCCATGGCCATTCTCTCCATGACTGTATCAAAGCCAATAAACTCTTTGTTATTTCCTCCAGGAGCGAATGCGAAGTAATCGTCTTGGATTTCAGCTTCATTTTTCCTATAAAGTTAGGTAATTACTTACTGAAGCCTGACACCAATATTTAGAGAGAACCCTGGTATGAGGTAGAACAAGAATCTATCATCGAGATATGTTTTGATTGGATTGTCATAGTCTTCAAAATCAAAATATGTGTTCACCTAATATGATTGATTATTTATCAGAAAATTTCGAACTTTTCAAATCTTAGTTTAAAACAAAGGTACAAGTTATACCCTAAGCATAACCGATAATGTTTGCTAATAAAGACACATACAACATAGAGTCTGATCTGAACCTTGCTCATAATGGAGTCTATTGTGGTATTTGACTGGCAAGTAACAGCACTTGTTGCATTGTTTCACCTACTAATAACATCGTATTCTTGCCTGGCAATACTGAAGGAGAAATATGATACAGTTTCTGAGAGAATGTTTCCAAGCACTGACAAATTTCTAGAGTCAGGGCAGTAAAATCTAAATGCTATTTGCTATACATTTACTCGCTAAGCTTGAGATCATCAATCTATAAATAGTTAATCAGCTTACCTCTTGCTGATTGTCATATCTAAAATTGTTTCCACATCTAGAGACACCAATGGGCACTCTATTAAAGACTCCTACAAATATTCTTAAATGGATTACCAGAAGCTAAAATTAATACCGTAATTACTTTGATTCACGTAAAATTGATCGATTGAAGCTGTGCCATAACTTGGTTCATTGAACACGTCAAAATCAATTCCATCTATTGTGGCTCTGATTGCAAACTGAAACTTTGTATCACTGATGAATTAGGCATAAAGTTACGTGAGATTAATAGGATCTGTGTCGTTCAAAATATCTAAATTATGACATTAATATAGTTTTAACACCAAAAAGAAACATTCAAAATATTGGATATGAACTTAAATCCAAGCTTGTCATATTATTGTTTATCGACTGAGTCTTTTTCAATAAAACCTTACTCTGAACAGTGGTGTTTACATTTTTGGAACTATTCTTGTTTGCTAAATAATCAGATAAAGCTGTTACTAATCATGATGGATATCATTTGGTAGGTGTATAGAAGGATCACTATCTTGATGATCAGCGATATCTAAACTTAAGAGTTTATCTTACAATTCCTCCAAAGAGAGTCTTGAATTCTCTATATAGAATTAGGTGAACTTCTCGATCTAGGCGACCATTTTGAATTGATTCAAATCCTTTTGGCTTACTCTTGTCCTTTAAAAGTAAATGTAATTGTTTTGGGGTACCTATTATTGACCAGTCATAAAAATAACAGATTAAGAAATTGCTACATACATATCTACTCCTTTAACAGTGCTGAGCATGTATTTAGAAACTCCAGTAAGGATCTTGTTAGCTATTTTATTTTATTTCAAAACTAGAACCTTCATCTGGGGTTTTGGGGTTTTGGGGTTTTGGGG